TTTAGCCTTCGGGCCTCTTTTTTTGGTTTGATCCGAAGAAAGCTTAACGACTTCAGTCCTCCGGCCTCCCTTTTGGGTTTGATCTGATGAAGCCTCAACGATTTTAGCCGGCCGGTATCTTTTTCGTGATCGATGAGAAGAAACCTCAGCTTCAGTGCTCCCATGAACCTCCACCAGTTCAGCTTCATCGCGAGGAGATGTTTTCTTTATGGGCTTCGTCATGTTCTCAAAAATAAAACTCGGAAAATAGCAGGATATGGAAGTTTACACAGGAAAGAAGAAGAAGACTGAATAACCGAAGACTAAAGTAATGCTAATATTATTATTAGTTTTTTTTTTTTAAAAGAAAGTCATGCTAACGTGAGATTGATGTTTCATGAGTTCGGACGGCACAATAATTCACGGTAATATAAAAATAATTTTTTATATAAATTTTATATGTTATTAAATAAATAAATATATTTGATATTTTAAATTTTAAATTAATAAAAAATTTAATAATTTAAATAATATATAAAATTATATTAAAAATGATATAAAAATTATTTTTGAATTATTTTTTTATAAAAATATAATTTAAATATTAATATTATTAAATATAAAATTTAAAATATTTAAACCATAATATCTTAAATACTAAATTTTAAAAAAAACTAAACACTAAACCCTTACATCTTAAATATAAAACTTCAAAATTTTTAAACTCTAACCATATTAATTTAACTTAATTTCAACTAAAAAAAGTGCGGCCATAAATATATATTTAAATAGTTAAAAATAATGACTAAATAATAAATTTATCCCTAAGAAAAAGAAAGAAAATCTATGACATATCTCACGTCAGGTCAACATGCTTGGGTTGGTTCCCCCTAGCATTTTCATTCTCTTCACAAGTGAAGTCAAATGTTCAGTGGTCGGTCGGTCAAGGAAATATTTCATTTGGAAAAGTATTTTGTAACCAAAATTGATTAAATTAGAGTTTGATCAGGTTCCTCTATTGTCTTCTATTGTCCCTTGGAAATGCAGGGTACGTTTTAGTTTTTCACATTTCTGTTTCCTCAAGTGGTACGATCCTCTTCTTTCACATGGCCAATCTCTGTTAGAATGATTAGAAGAACGTTGGGTACATTTACATTCAAATTTCGCATGTACAAAACCATTTGAGGTTTTTTGAGGAAACAATTTCACTTGACTCGGTGAGTGGTGAGACGCATCCTGAGCTCATAATTTTGAATTCCCCTTTCTTCAAAGACCACAACCCAAATTATAATTAAATTCCTAAACTTAATAAAGAAAGAAAAAAAATGAAAATTATAATATTTTGATATTTTAAATATTAAATTTTTTTATAAAATTATTTAAATATATTTAATATTTTTTTTACATGTTAATTTATTTAAAATATTTTAATATTTTTATTACTATTCTCAATACTTTAAATATTAATATATCTTGATTTTCTTCCATCACATTCAAAAAATATATAGGTTCCCAATTATTTAAGAAAAGTTAAAAATCAACTAATACCATCACTTTTGCAACATCCTAATCAGCAACTTATGCATTCAAAAGCAATGGTGATAATTAAATAATTTAATAATAATATTCTTCTATTAAAAGTAAAAAAAATTTAATTTAAATTATATATTATACAGATAAAATGAATTATAAAATAAAAAATTATATTTTATTATGTAACACAAAATAAATAATTTAATTAATTAATTAAAAAAAGGTTAAATGCTAAATTTGGTCCCTCAACTTTAAGAAATGCACATTTTTTATCCCTTAACAATTTTTTGCACTTTTTTTATCCCTCAACTCTAACAAATGCACACCGTTAGTCCTTCTGTTAATTTCAGCCGTTAACTCCGCACATGTGGCATTTTTTATATTTTTTTTGATGATGTAGAGCGTAAAATTTAAAAAAATAATGACATGGACATAACATTTTACCATGTTCAAACAGAAAACATTTTCTCAGCATCCAAACACCCTTCTAGCCAAACAAATGAAAAGCCACTAAAAATTGCTTCTTTACCCATTAATCACTGCTTCTATACTTAAGAAATATAAAGAAAAGGATTTCAAAAATCCCTCACAACCTGCAATTTACATAAAAATCTCTTCAAACAAACATATAACAAAAAAAAAAAAAAAAGAAGTGGAGCTAGGTTCACTGGATCTGGGTTCGAGGAACCCACCAACTGGGTTCCACCGAACTCGAGCTGGGTTCGGTGGAACCCAGTTGTTGGGTCCCTTGAACCCAGCCATCTAGGTTCAAGGGAACCCAGCCAATTGGGTTCGACACCGAACCCAATTGCTGGGTTCGACGGAACCCAGCAATTGGGTTCGGTGGAACCCAGATGGGATCTAGCGACAGAGGAAGAAGAAGAAGAAAGAAGAGAAAGAAAGAAGAAAAAAAAAAAGAAAGGGAGAAGGTGAGTCGAACTTTTTTATTTTTTATTAAAAATATAAATCCTAAACAAATTTAGTTTATGAGTTGGCATCGAACACGTCATCAAAAAAAATTCCAAATCAGCACTTTTTAATGTTGTTTTTGCCATGTCATAAAAAAAAACATAAAAAATGCCACATGGACTTAACGGTCTAAATTGACAGAAGGACTAATGGTGTGCATTTTTTAGAGTTGAGGGATCAAAAAAGTGCAAAAAATTATTGAGGGACCAAAAATGTGTAACTCACTAAAGTTGAGGGACCAAATTTAGCATTTAACCTTAAAAAAAAAAAAAAAAAACAAAACAAAACAAAGGCAGTGGCGAAATTAGCAAAGCCCACGGCACAGTGGGCCTTGAAAAAAGTTTAGAAAGTTAAGACTAGTGAAAAAGGGTCTGAGTCCGACCATGTACATATCTTCTCTCTCACTATGGTATAGGGAGTGAGCCATGAGGCATTCCCCCAATTCAATGGCCTCAACTGTAAAACAATAGTAAAGTCTCTGTTTTGGCTTTTTTTTTTTTTTTTTTTAAGGGGAATATG